TAGATCGTATTGGCAGCAGAAAAGAAGATCTCGTACGCTGTCGACTGCTCGATATTGGCGTCTCGGAATGGAATTGATGACCTCTGCTTAAAAGTAAACGGCTATCTCTCCAGCCTTTCTTGCTTCTTCAGTGCAAGGAGCCTAACACTCCCCCCAACGAAATCAGCGACAACCCTCTTCACAACCTGGACGAAGGAAGTCAGACTAGAATTAGGCATTCACGTCGATGGTACACCAGTACCGACAGTAAAAAATTCGAAAAGTCGCTCGCCGGCAGCACTTGGGGCAAAGACAAAGAAACGTTGCTGGCAACATACAAGGCAATCGGCCGGCCGGTTCTGAATTATGCAGCACCAGTTTGGTCACCGGGGACTAGTTGAACGCAGTGGACAAAGCTACAGACTTATCAGAATGCCGCACTCCGGACAGCGACTGGGGGCCTACTTACGTCGCCTGAGCACCACCTACACAGCGAGGCCCAAGTGCTCCCCGTAAGGGAGCACAACAAAATGCTTTGTAATCAGTTTCTGGTGGGGTGTCACAGAAGTGAACACCCTAACAGACCACAGGAGGAGTATACGCCCAGGCACGTCGGGGGGCACCTCTTCGCCTACAAAGACGCAGTTCAGAAATACGTAGACCAACCACTGGACCCGATGACGTACAGACGAGCTATCAACGACATTCATAGGGAGTCGGTCACCACCTACTTCGACTCCCGGCCTATGAATACCTTGATCTGAGCCCAATCACCACCTGTAGAAGAGACGGATTTTTAACTGCCAAGAAAGACCCGCGTTACCCTGGCTCAGTTACGGTATGGATATTGTAGCCGCCTCAACAGCTACCTCTCCAGAATCGACCTCAATATCCCCAATGAGTGCTCGACATGTAGAGACTCCCCGCACGACACCAACCACCTCTTCACATGCCATCTCAACCCAGCTCAACTGACACCCCTCTCCCTTTGGTCCGACCCAATTAAAACAGTCCGTTTCCGTTGCTGAAATAAAAAGTGTGACACTATGTTACAATTTTGCCCATTACTGTTAGTATGTAAGAATGTACGATATGTATTTAGGAATGCATTGGCCCATTGGATAATTGCATGAAAACGTTATTAGCAAATTTTGTAGTCTTTTCAAAAATAAATTATGCAAATTATGTAGTTTGTAATGAGCTGCTGATACTAAACAATATTAAATTTTTACACTGATAACCATACTTTCATTTATTTTTTGAAGGCACCTTTTAATATTAACAATAAAAATAATAATAACAACAATAATAATGATACAGTACAATTCGTGTTGAGTGAACTAATTCCCGCAAGGCCTGTTCACCCAATCTAGATTGTTCATAGAACTTAAATAGGGAATTTAAAGACACATTTCAAATATCAAATCATATACAATTTAAACATGTTTATACTTCTAAATTAATTTCTTCCAGACAAGTCTTACTGCCGGCTTCACCAGCAATTTAAATGGAAAATGATTTTTTTTTTCTTTTTTTCTGTCAATTTTCATATAACATTCAAAAAACTAAAATCATTTTTCACTTAAATTGCTTTCGTGAAATTGGCTATTAAAATTGGTTTGTTTATTTTCTTTCTTTAAGACACTCCTTCTCGGCTTTATCTTTGAAAGCCTTTTATTATCAAGATAATTTTACGTTGCCTCCGAACGGCAAATGATTTTAATGCGAAATTTTGTCAAGGCAGAAATACACCCGGAGGTTTGCCATTGTCTGCCGAGGGGCGATCGCCGTTATACTATGATATTTATGTGGTCTCCATACAAATATTACTAGACCACTTAAACAGACTTCAACTTTTGTTGTTGTATTCTGATTTGTAAGTGAATATTTTTTGCACATATCATCCAGGCAGGTTCTGCAATTCACTTCCGAGTGAATTTCAATCAAACTCGCTTTGAATTCCAATTGGCAGGGGTTCAAATTCACTCGGAAGTGAATTGCAGAACCTACCCGGATCGAATTACATGCATATGTAAAAATGTACGAACAAAGTGGCAATTTCGCTTTTAAAAAATCACATCTAATTTCTTTTGTATTTTTTCGAACACGAGAGAGAGAGAGTTAAATTCGCAGTACATGAGCTTTTGCAGTCTAAAGCTTGCAAGGCATTTCAACCCCGTGTTTTCATGCATAGGGGTTGAAATTGGAATAAAATGTCTTCCTGCAAAGAAAACCCGCAGTCCTAAAATAAACGTCGAGTGCAGCAAGCAGTCCACTTTGGCACGAAACAATTTATTTTAATTTAATAAGAAAATACAAAAACAAGAAAAATTACCTTCCGGATTGTGAATATACATACATATACATATATGTACATCTGTATTCTATAATAAAAATTTAAAGCGTATGCTAACAAACTTTGAATCGCTCTTATATGTACAAATCGGAAAACCGAAAATTTCTATTACCAACAAAATAAAAGCAGTTCAAATGTACATATCACACCACAAACGTAGTTGAACGGCACTTAACTAACGCTTAGTCCATCCATCTTCGATACCAAAATGTTTGTGAGAAATTGTCCTTTCGTTATTTAATCGTTTGTTTATATACAAATAGTTTTACAATATTTGTATCGTGATGAGTTTTATTGTTGCGTAGCCTAAATTGTCAAAGGTAAGGCGAAATTCTACGGTTTTTTTTTTTTTATTTATTCCACAAATCAATCAGTACTTACATACATACATACATACATACATACATACATACATACATACATACATATGCACCTATGCGCGCATTGTATATGGTGTGCAATTTATACATACATATGTGGCTCAAATAATTTGTTTTTACATGGACTTTCGGTATCAGCTTCATTCCGTATATTAAAACTACTAAATCGAAAGTTACATGCAGTTCATTTTGGAATTGTATTATTTAGTTAAATGGAGAAACAAAAGGAAATTGCGCATAATACGGCAAATTGCGAAATTGATTTTTCGAGCTTTAAAAGTACATACCAATTTTCTAGTTAGTACCTTTGTGGTTTGTTTTTATACATTCATATTGGTGGATTTTCGAAATACATATGTATTTAAAAGCCGTCTCCATTGCTTTTCAGAGTAATTCATCTGCGCTCTTCGAAAGTCGACATGTTGTGAGTTAATAAGTTTGTATGTATGTATAAGTGTATGTACATGCAAATATATGAGTGTGTTGGGCGCAACTCTCTTCTCGAAATGATTGCGGTGAAATTTCGAAGATGCACAAGTTTTAACGCCGCGGCGTATACCTTGTTTTCGTCACGACCTTCATGACTCATCGTTGTTAATGAACATAGGATGGGGCAGTTTTGGTTGGGCACCTCCATGAGGGGTTTCCCGACGCCTGAGTCAGTTTGCCGTCACAGAAGATATAATCAAATTATTATGGCGAGTATGTACATACATACATACATATGCATACATACATATGTATATGTGCATATGTTTGGTTAGGAACAAAGTATCAAATATCACATCAGCGTTGAGTGGCTTATATGTACGTGCATAGACTGGTATATACATACATACATACCATGTACATGTACTTACATATGTATTTGTATGTATAAACCGTTCACGCTTTAATTGTGCGATATCAACAGTAATGAACGTAAGGATTCGAATTCTATGAAAACAGAAAAATCATATGTACATACATACGTGCATATGTGTGCGTGTACCTGTTATATAAATACATATCCTTATAATGCATCTCTATGAACATGGGTGGTCGTTTGCGAGAACGAATTTATTTTAATGTGAATCGCCTATATCTAGACACATATCTATAAACCCCTTTCATTTTTTCGACAAATTTAAAAACTAAGTCAAAAACATACATACATACACACATATGTATATCCTAATAAATGCATACTTGTGTGCCTATATATTTCCGTATATAGTTACTTTTGTATAAACATATACATATGTATGTACCTATGTAGTGGGAAAGTGCATATGTACTTACATATGTATCTATGTGTATGCGCATATCTGTTATCATATAAATAAATGAAAAGGTATACGAGTATGCAAACCTTTTATTACGCTACTTTTACCAGCAATGTTCATTTTTATACATACATACATACATATGTACATATGTATGTTTTTTATGAAAAGGCACAAGTTATTATTACTCTGCTCATTTTAATGGACAATCCATGAAAAGAAGACAGCATAAAGCGAATACACAGCATGCAGATTTTATATGCATGAGAAGCGCCTACGGAGTGTAGCGTTTGGCGTATTAATCAACTCAGCGTAAACAGCTGCTGGCAAAAATCAACGATACAAGCCATATACCATAGAATACCTACTTGTATACAAAGCGTAGTCGAAAGCGCAGTGTCAGTTGAGTGAAAAGGTAGTTATTTAAGGACGACAGACAGCACATTGATGTGATGTACAGTGTTTTCTAGCCCCAGGCTAAAACATTTTTCGTAGTCTTTAGTATATACGTAAGCATATAATCCACCACACGATCTTGTTTTGTGCGGAAAAGGCCACATTAGCATCATTCGAATTATAATTCTAAGAATTCAACTTTTAGTTGCAAAATGATAGTCTGTTAGAGAAGTCGTCGATATTGGTTGCATCAGTTATAGTTTAAAAGCGTTTACTAATAAAAAATAGTCTAAAAATGTTTTGCCGTCGTTGTTGGATAGACTTCTCATTGAATGAATTAACTGTACAGTGTTCGGGTCCATGTGCCCGCCTCTTTCATGACAAATGTATCGGTATATCTTCAGGTACCAATAGGGAAATACAAAGAAAAAATGAGTTTGAATGGTATTGTTCCGATTGCCGCGAACTATATCGATTGCAGCTGTATTTTGAGGTGCGAATGTTGACAGTTTTGCGAGATTTCGAATACACATACATATGTATTTAAAAGTGCAACATACTCATATTTATGTAGTTGCAAAGTGATATTTAATACATTTTAAAATTAATAAATTTTGTTTTCAGATTGCTATTTGTGACGATTATAGTTTACCAGTTGACTTTGTTAAGAAACGGCCGTCCAGTTTTGATCCATGTTTAGCAGAAGCTTTACCAACAAATCCCGTAAACTGGGCTCATCCTAGTCCGCAAACAGAATTCGTATGTGAAGAAATATATACATATATGCTATTTGTTTTTTTGTTTTGAGTGTTTTTCATTATACCTATAACAAATTCACGTGTATAGATTGCGTTGTCCGAACCAAAAGAAAGTCAATACCAAAGCCAACAAACAAAATCGCAAGACTTGGAATCGCTTCCACCACCACCACCACCAGCACCGTTGTCGACATTACCAACAAATAAAACAACATTGAGTATTCCCTCATCCACTTTTGCCCCAAACAACACACTTCCTTCTTATCAACTAACACACATTGACTCCCAGTCCAACAACTCACATTCCATTCAATCGAAGTCCCATAACCCCTACAACAAATCGCAACCACAACTCTCTCTTCAATCCCATCCGCCTCTACCTAATACAATACGGCACGCTTCAATCAAACTAATCGAAGGTTATTCAGATCCTAAGGACTCAAAACGTCAGAAAAAACTTCATCATAAGAGGGCAAAGCGGCGAGTGAACAAAAATCGGCGATCTCATCATCAGCTGAGCTCGCCTAAAGGCCAAGAAAAAGCTAAGCGTTCAAACTGTAGTTCAGGTAAGTATGTGTTATGCAAGGTATCTACCTTATAAAAGTATAAAATTATGTAACTACCTTTGTATGTATGTATATGTATAGATATGTATTTATGTTTTTTATAAAAAAAAAATGTGTGCTTCCTGACCTCAGATTCGTCAGGACCCAAGTCATCAGATGATGAAAACAATCAATCAATTAAAGTTCCCGAGCTTAACTCACCGGACAGCATTTCCGATGACCTAGTACACCCATTGCCATCACAATTATACCGTAGTCCTCGCAAATTAGTGGTTGCACCACCAGATACAAGCAAACGGAATCCGTCGCCATACTACTACTCCGATCTACTTAAATCGAAAGACAACGAAGTTGGAGTCATAGACAAGGAAACCAAGAATAAAAGTCGCCAATCCACAGTTTCCGAACCACCGCAGTCGACGCAGCCATCCATAAATGATGTAGTAGGTCCCTATCGTAAGAGTACAAGTCTAGACGCACCAGAAAACAAGGAGCACGATTTCGATAAAATTGAACTGATTGAAAATACCCCACTGCAAGCAGCTAATGAGACACCAAAACGCTATTCGTTTACAGAGGAGGGAGTGCATATAATTCGCTGTGATTCGCCAACAACATCAACTTCAGAGGAATCGGACTGCAGTGAGTGTCAAAAACGGCGTCAGTGGCATGCAAGGGCATTGGCTTTAGTTCGCAAAACCTGCAATATACAGCCAATAGCCGTTGGTGCAAACCCAAGTACTTGCAATCACCAAACTGAGGAGACAAAAACTTTGCCAATTATAGAAGATAACTCGTCGATGCCGCCTCATAAATTGTTCGGCCCGGCTATTTGCGCCTGCGTTGCACCGACAATTGGGGAAGATATCGACGAATTTTTTCGACCACGTAGCATTTTCTACGTCCATCCACAAGGCGTGCATGAGTGCTCAGACTGCATTTCAAATGTAAGCAATTTAAACTCGTCCACTGCAAACGTATTTGATGAACAAGGTCCAACTCAATTAAAAAGTGCAATTACTTTGCTGGACGACGACGAAATGTCTGGCCGTACGCGACAATTATATGAGACTGCTTTTGATTGTAAAATAGCCAAATCGGACGATGACCTCGATGAAGTTGATCGTATAACGAACCACTCTGTATTATTTCAGCCAAACAGTAGCACTGGCGCTGTCACAAAGCCTGACACACGTTCGAAAAAAACCGGTCATGTAAAATCTCGGCTTGAAGGCAAAAGACTAAAAAACTCTAAAAACCACGCAATACAAGAGCAAAGTAGCAACTCGGGTGGAAATGCAAGTGGAAGTGGATCGCCACTTGCTGCTCTTCCTGCAGAGGTGAATCCCAAAAAGGATAGTGACTTCCAAAGCAATGTTTCTGGTATAACAACCGGCATTGAAAAAGTTCTTATTCGCAGTCAAACTGTTGACCCAGAACCTGATGCAGCATGCGCCTCCACATCACAATTACCTATTCGTGGATATACACCATCTCCGCCGTCAACTGCACCATTGCCTATAAAATTTCCAGGAAAACATGATCGTTTCCTAATGAATAGTATAAAAAGCGCTCCAAACTTACCGTCTTCGAATCCAGCCCATCCACGTTTACGTGACTTACGTCTTCCATTACAGTCTTCTTTGCGCCAGCAACATCAGCAAGCTCTGTCAATAGGTACCAGTAATGAGAACAGTCTTACCGATAGCGCTTACGTAAATCCACCATCCTCAACATCACGCAACATTCATAATATTCCGCCATCGAATATTGCTAGAGTTCGTGATCGACCGCGCTCTTTTGTTATTGAATCGGGGCGAGTACTAGAATTGCGAAAAAGCCACGTCTCTCACCGCCACCATGTGGGAAATGGCGGTCGAAGGGCACATAATTACTCCTCGACCGAAAGCATTGCCACATCGAGTAGTGGTGGCAGCATGGAATCTTTACGCTCGAGTACCAGTGAAGGAAACCGAAGTACTTCCAGTTCAGAGTCAAGGAACTCAACCTCGTTGAGTTCACATAGCTCTGAATCTGGTAGCTCGAGCGTTGCGCTCCCATTACGAGCGCCCGTTGTTGTCCACTCTAAATTACATATCTTAAGCCCAATCTCAGACAAGTCTTCCCAAGAACCAGCTTCCGAATTGTCCGAACAAAATAAGACTCAACATACCTCCCCTGAGGAAATCACACAACTGGCCCAATTGACACAGACACAACAACAAACAAGTTCAAACGCTTCAGCGTCGAACATCGAAACTATCAGACCACAACAACAAACGCAACCCGATATACTTAAGAAAAAGAAACCCCCACCCAATAAAACGCTCCTACATTTAGCCGATGAAATAATCGGTTCTGATAGTGGAATCTCACTGCATTCAAGAGAAGACTCCAAACTAAGTGCCGGTATACAAAAGTTTACACTTCCGAAGCTTAATTTTTCACAATCAGACAAAGCAAATGAGAGCAGCACGAGCGCAGCTGTAACAGCTGCAAATTCATCTGGGGTACCCCAAGACTTGCATGATTTACCTTTCGATATGCCAAAATTAAGACGAAAAAAGAACCTTCAGCAGGTAATGAAGAAAATTTATGAAAATACATATTTTAGTTATGCATTGACTTATGTATTTTCTCTATTATTTCAAAGGAGACCTGTACCTCGGGTAGTGCCACATCCGTGGATTTAGGAGACCTGCCGTTCGATATGCCGAAGCTCAGAAGACGACTACGCACGAATCAAATAGAAATAGGCATTTTATCGCACAGTACCGAATCTAGCGGCTTATCGCAAGCGTCTTCAAGCCATTCGATGAGGGATGAAAACAAGATCTCTATGAAGTTGGGTAAGTATGCAGGTGATGTGATTTCTGAAAATAGGAAAACTTTTGCAAGAGCTCATATTTACAGATGCAGCGATATTTCGTCAAAATTTAACTTTAAATTTAAATGAGCCTCGCCAGACTAGCAAATTTGGTAGTCTAGATTTACGAGGCCTTTCAACCAATAAAGAACTTAATCTAAATATAGCACAGGGCTATACATCAGCTGTAGATTTGATAGACATTTCCATACCACTCGAGCGACAAGGGTGAGTTATGTTTGACAACAAATAGCCAACTCATTTTTCAGCTTCAAGTCACTGGGGTCAGAACTTCTTTGATAATAAAAAAAAATTTACATCAAAGTTAATTTTTGCCTGTGGCCCAATGGCAGTAATTTTATGACCCATAATTTTTTAATAATTAACTATTACAATATTTTCGCTGCAGTTGGTATCACGGCGCGATTACCAGAATCGAAGCGGAAAATACGCTGCGACCCCTCAACGAAGGAAGTTTCTTAGTTCGCAATTGCGAATCCACCAAGCAGGACTATTCACTCTCATTAAAGTAAGTATCCCAGGAAAAATGCAGGAGAATATAATATTTAAACAAGTATGTGTGCGTGTAATTAAAAAAAAAATACTTGGCATTTTCAGGGGCGCTAAAGGATTTATGCATATGCGCATACAACGCAATGAAGCTGGTCAATATATTCTCGGTCAATTCAGTCGTCCTTTTGAAGCAGTTCCCGAAATGATAAGACATTTCTGCCTGAATCGTTTGCCGGTAAGGGGAGCGGAGCATATGTGCTTAATTGAACCAGTCATTGTACAGCTGTTATAGGCCTTCCTACTAGATTTTCACACATGATTTCTGGTTAAATCCTATATGCATATGTACATACATACATACATACATACATATGTGTGTTTACGTACAGTGAAGCCTTTATGAATTCACACGCATAAAATTATATTTTACCGGCAAGTATGTATGTATAAAGCAACAGTGAAAGTTAGACAATACAATTTAAAATCATGCATGCACATGCATGTTCATCTATACTTATGTATGTACATATACATATACATATACATACATAAATACATTTGTCTCAAAATGAGCTTGTGTTACGAGCACCTGGAGCTTTTATTTGTACGTAGCATAAATACTCATGTATGTATGTATAAAAACTTATGCGCTTAAATTCTACATACCCACAGACATACATGCATATGTATGTACATATGTAGTTACCTAAAAAATTGGTGGGTACATAAGTACATATGTACATAAATCGCCAGTGGCAAATACTTATACATACATACATACAAACATATGTATATGAATAGGCACCTTGGTATGCATAAATTAGAAACATATGCAAAATCCTACATACATATGTATGTATGTATATGATATGCACTATTTGCATAAATGCTAAAATGGAATAAATAGTTATAGAGGCCATTTAAACAGCTATACGCGCATACATATGGATGTATGTTTGGATGTACATTCTTATACATATATGGATTATGCACATATGTATATACATACATACACATTTACACACACATAAAACGCTTGAAACAATTTGTTATTTGTTACTAATTTTAGTTTAAGATCACCACAATAAAAACGTGAACAGTTCACTGTAGATATAAAATTGTAAAATTTCACACATACAGACATACCGTGCATAAGTTTGGTTGAGCAGCTCATAGAGCAAGATTAACTTAAATATTTAGCAATTCACTATACATACTTACATATATTTAACTCATAAAATATGAAAACTACATACATAAGTAATCAATCAGCTTAGTTTCTGGTGCAATATTCTTTTACTTTTTTTTAGTGCCAAACATACATATGTATTTATTTTTAATGATATTTATTCTACTGATATTTCAGTCTAGAGTTTGAAAAGTGCAATAAGATAATTAATTTATTACTCATCCTATTTATTTTTTTAAATGATCATTCATTTACTTGAAAGAATTCTATGAATGTATTTCTAGACTTGATTATTATAGAATTAAAATTTGCTTGACGCACTTAACCGTATTAAGTTCAATGTTATTATGCGAGGGTGCCATTATAATATTTTACATCTAAAAATGTATTCCGATGGTAAGAAGATCTAATCATATAAATACATAATTAACTTTTTAACAAAAAAGCCGATTGTATACATACCACATACACAATTCTATCCGTTCGCCGCACCCTAAAATAAACAACGTCTCAGAATAAAAACAAAAAACTACACATCGATATAAAAAGTTTGTACTTAGAATACAAAAACACACCATACATACATACTAACTGCGTATATTATTCGAAATATAATATGTACTTGGTATAAGTATCATATCAATGCTAAAAGGTATACATACATACAATCTAAAAGAATAGTAATACATACATACATATATAGAAAGGTTTCGTTGACATTACATACATATTATGTACTACGCATTGAATCTACAAATGCATAATGAAATCGTTTCGATAAAATTGCTAGTAGAAATAGTGATATTAGAATCATAAGTATTTTCAGTTTTGTAAAAGCATGTATAGACAGACACAGACAGGCACATACAGTGACAGTATTTTCCTATACATTTTATTTTATTATTTACATACAATATTTTTTTTCGGCAACCGATTTAAAGAAGAATCAAGTTGATAATTGTTTATTCAATACATACATATGTACATATTTTTTAAAAAGAAATCCTTCTTCTGTGTATTTACTCTCTCTAATAGAGCAAAAGCTTTTGTAAACATAATGCAATACACAGTAATATGTATGTACATACATACATATATATGTATATTACTGCTACTATAATACATACTCATAAATATAAAAATACATATTTGAAAAATAGTGTCGTATATTTAGCCATAGATATTCGTACTAGAAATAAAAATATACCAAAATCAGAACGGTCCTTTTAGTTAAGAATTTTTCCTAGAAATAAATACATATAAACCGAGTGTACGATGTAAGTACATATTTGTACACAATTGTTTCAGAGTAATCTGAGTCGTAGAGAAATTTTAAAGAATTCGTAAAGATCTCATCCGATTTTTTTTCCGATTTTTCTAAAATGAAATAAACTGTACATCCTTCGATTCATTTAAGAAATTTCAGAAGAAAATCGGTGAAGCAATTAAAATAATGCTTATTGCAGAATTTTTTCAGAATTTTCTTTATTTTTCGTACAGAAATTTCTTTACGATTTCGTGTTAACCACTTCATATAATTTTCTTTGAATATTCTTACAAAAAATCGTTACAGAAATGAGATACTCCTAAAGATTTTGTTAAGATTTCGGGAACTTTGGTTTGCAGGGACAATTTGATCGCAATGTTTTTTAATTGGAAATCAAAGAAAGACAGCCCATGGCAATTTTCGTGATGGTACAAGTATACGTGTATATTTGTAAACTACTACATAGAATGAAGTGCCATATCATAACAGGGGCGGTTCAGGGAATTACACAAACATGACGGTCTCATGTTTCCTTGAAAATAACGTCAGCGAAATTTGTTTCAAAATGTAATCTTGATGCGTAAATACTCTTAAAGCATCTAGAGCATTTCTGCATCAGAAAGTATTGCCGGATTTCCATTAAGCATAAAAATACCAAAAAAAAATGGACTATTTAAAAAATACCATGTGGAAATGAACTTAATAAGAATTTTTTTTTTATCGTGATGACACGAATATTTTTAATGCCTAACTTTGTCGTTAAAATTTTTGCCATTTAATGACTAGCGGAAATCCAGCATGAGTTTAAGAAAAAATCATATATTATTTTCATGGTTACGCCTCGTTATGTGGACTTTCTTCGATGCTCTTCGCTCTTTGGAAATCTGAAAAAGTGAAGATGTTTTTCCTAACCAGGACAAAACTTACATATGGGTCATTTCATACAATATTTACACCTCAATATTTTTTTGGGGTGAAATATAGTTTTTTACATTTTGATACCTTAACTGATTTTCTCCGACAAATAGTTAATTAACTGCAAACAATTAAAAAAAGATACTTCTCCGTGAGTTCAAAATTTCGGGATTTTTTCTTTCGAGATTTTCGAATATCATGACGAAGTAAAAAAAAAGGTGTCTTCTTGTTTCGGTAAAGAATGTAAAAAAAATTTATTTCACCCCAAAAAAATATTGAGGTGTAAATATTGTATGGAATGACCCATATGTATATGCACATGAAGCTGTGTGGTATTTTATATGTTCCGAGTCCAGTGAAGTAATTGACTCCAATTGGAAATGCCAAGCTTTTTTGTAACTGGTATTTTTATCCTCTGCCACCACCAGAGGGTGCAGCGATTCTCATAGATTTACAGATATTGTTTTTTTTCTTGTTAATTTTTCATGCGATTTTTTTTTTCAATAAGAATTTGTCAAGCCGCTACTGAATTTCGGAAGGAAAATAGTAATTTCCAGTACATTCTCTTATCAGATCTGTCTTCCTTTTTTCAATATATCGACACTCTGATGTTGGGGAATGTACTTTGAATACTGTGGGGGTCATAGGCCCAACACCATGCAACGACAATATTTTCGATATGGTTAAAAAAATTTCCGAGGCAAATCTAAACTTTTCTCTGACTGCACCGCAGGTTCGAAAGAATCTTAAGAATATGGGCTGGGATATCTATAGAGACACTTTGGAGAGTATGTTACCATATCCAGCACCTAACGAGCCCAGCACCAGTGGTGAATTGGAGAATGTGGTTAACTCTTTTACTCGGATTTGCTCAGAGACTTCGGCTAAGGCCCGCCCGGAACCTAGACCCAGGGGAAAGAGAGTCAAGAATCTGAGTGGCAAAATTATAAGCAGCTTTTGGGTGCTTACAAAACGACTTTGACGGTAGTAGGTTGAAATAAAGAGGGTAATTAGCAACTACCTATCTTTCACCATTGACAGTCGATTACTGTCTTCCACTCAAAATCAGTGATCGCACTTTAAAAGTTGGTTTGGTAGAATCTGGGAAAAAATGTGGTAGATTTCAAAAAAATGCGGTAGATCTCTGGGTTTGGATCAAACTTTGTACAAAAATGTAAAAAAAAATCTGCAAGGTTTTACCTAAATGGCAAACTTTTTAATTAGACTCTAAAAAAATTTAATTTTAGTATAATAAAGTGCAAGATTGAAGTTGCTAAAAATTGCGTTGAGTTTCGGCAATGTTTTTCCTTCACAGTGTTAAACAGTTCCTTCCATATTAAGATATTTTTCGAACATATTTTAAGAGATTTCTGCAACCTTGCGGAGCGCTGCCAGCTTTTCTTTTTATCACATCACGAAGTAGCGAACAAATGTGGCACGTTCCAGAAACAGCTACATAATTGGGATTTGCCGATTTTGGCAATTCTCAAGTAAAAGCAAACAACGCCTCAGAAACTTTAGATGCACTTAAATTTGCTAATACTTTCACAAAAAGCGCCGGTTTTTAACATTTTCACTATTAATTATTTTTATAAATCATATATTTTGCAATTCATTTATTTAACTCAATAAAACGGCGTTTCCTGTCGAAAAATTGATTACTGAGAAAATTTACTATTTGACAGTTTATTTTATCCTCACATTAGGCTTTGTTTGCTTTTACTTGAGATATTTCATCGTCGCCGTGAATGCGGAATCTTGTATTATATCATTCTTGTTACCATATTAAGAAAATGTAAAATTAAGAAAATTATGTCAAGCAAAAATAAAACTAGTCAAAAACGCGAATATGTGGTAGATTTTAGACCTTGACTGGTAGATGTGGTAGATGCTCAAAAAAGTGGCAGATCTACCACATTGTGGTAGAAGTCCGATCAGTGCTTAAAATGCCTATCTGAATAACTTAGTGAGAGCGGAGACAAGGATGTTTGCATGTACATATATGAGACGATTGTGAGATTATTGTTAGTTGGGGGCTTTTAATGAAAACAAATATTCTTTTCTAGAATATGATGTACTGTATAAATAAACTTACCTTTTAATAAACAGGAACTTATTCCACGTCCGTTTTTGGTCACTTAGCGTTTTCTCGTTCAACAATTAAAATATCGCATCAAACATATGTACACCAGAACTTGTATCCTCTGTAATTGCATATCTTGCATGAGTATAAATTATCTAAATATGTATACGTTCTGCATTTTTTTAAATAGACTCGCCCGAGTGTCACTAATCAATCGGCACGATGTCAAATTGTACAACCATCTATAGGTATTGCTGTTGCCGCCGTTGTTGTCTTCTAACGAGAGAAATTTAATAATAATAATTTAATGGTGTGCTTCCCAGCTACTGTTTGTTTTAATTCTGCATACTTTAAAGCCGATTTTACACGATTACAATACACAGCACTACATATTAACATTTTCAAACCAAAAAAGATGTTTTTATTTGCTGACTTCAGCTTTTAACTAATAGTTTTGATGCTGCGAAAAGGAAGCAAAACGAATGGCCAACAACGAATACCGGAACTAGTAATATGTATATACATACATACATACATAAATGTCCAGAGCGAATTAAAATGCTCTGCAAGACTGGTTTGAACGCGTCATTTGTTTAAATGCAGCATACTTTAAGGCCAATTTTTCACGATTACAATATAAATCACTATTAATATAATCAAACCAAAAAAGATATTCTTTAATCGCGTTTTTGTACGGGTTAAACAGTGCAACCCTATAAATAAATAACGCGGCATCATCACTTGCACACTTCAACTTTCAAACTAGTCGTTTTGATGCGGCGAAAAGGAATGGACAACAACGAATGCCGGATGGCCGGAACTGCACCATACATACATATCGTTGCCTTAACATAGAAAGGCCCTATCTGACATCGTCGCTGATTTACAAAAAGTCGTAACTAACTAAAAATCGAAAATTTACGTTTTAATTGATTATGATGCAGTTGATCGAATTATGTGGCCTCACATCGTTTTATGCAATAAAAGATTTTAGTTAGTTACGGCTTTGTGCATTTCAGCGACGATGTGAGATAGGGCCTTTCTATATTAAGGCAACGATATACACATAAATGACCAAAGCGAATTAATTCTTTGCAAAGCTAACTCGTACGCGTCATTTGTCTAAATGCAGCTTACTTTAAAGCATATTTTCACGATTAAAATATGCATAAAGCACTATTAACATAATCAAACAAAAAAGATCTTTATTACTCGCTTTTTTGCACTTGTTAGGTATTGCAAACCATATTAATAAATAACGCGGTGTCACCATTTGTTCACTGCACCTTACAAACTAGTCGTTTTAATACGACGAAAGGGAAGCAAAACGAATGGCCATCAACGAATTGCGGAACTAGTCCATATGTAATGTACTTATGTATATACATACCAGGGATGGAATTTCAAAATTTCAAAATGTACCTAATGGTCTTCGAAAATAGTGCCGAAAAGATGAAAGTGCCACAAAATTAAATTTCTTTTCAGGCATTTTAAGAACAATATATTTTTAGGAATAATATTTTTAAAATACACTGAAGTAATATAATAATTATTAACTAACTAAATTATTACAGTAAATCACTTTTATGAAGGATTCCTTAGACATATACGTAAATTCATAGTAAAATTAAACAGAATTCCAATTACGGAGGGGAAATACACCGAAATATAGCTATTTTGAAATTTTTACACACATACATATGTATGTATCAGAGCTGTAAAATGATTGAATCAACATAGTCTGCATTCACTCAGCATTCCTTTCAAAATGTTGATTGTTGGTTTGTATAAATAAAAACTTCATTCCTGAGTGGCTTAAAATATTTGAAAACAAACAAACTGTGTTTTGTTGTTGAATGCTAGATTGCCATTCAGTATAGAATGTGAATGTTCAGCAGCATTCGCACTCACACATGATTGTATATTTAGAATGAATGCACACTTTTTTTT